CACAGGCACTGCCCAGATTAAAGTATTTTAATGAACTTTTCATACATTACAAATGTCTGTCTTATAGTTTAAGTGAATCTTTTACCCAGGAATGATTTCACTTTGTGCATTGCTCCTTTGGAAGTACTGATTCACTGAGCTGTGTATCAGGGTTCTCCAGGGAAACATAACCAATAGGATATAGAGACATATAAGAAGGGATTTATTATGGGAATTGGCTCCCATGATTATAGAGGCCACCAAGTTCCAGATACAAGCAGTCCTTGAGTTACAAACATCTGTACTTAGGAATGGAGTCCATTACAGTCAGTCCCCAAGTTATAAACATCTAACATTTGACTTGCACTTACAAACAAAAGGCTTTTACATATAGGTAATAGGTAAATGTACCTGTTCCAGCTTACATACAAATTTAACTTAAGAATACCTACAGAACTTATCTTGTTCATAACTGGAGGACTGCCTATATGCCATCTGCAAGCTAGAAAACCAGAAAAGCCTGTCATATAACTTACTCTGAGTCTGAAGGCCTGAGAGCTGATGGTGTGACTCGCAGTTCAATGCTGAAGGCAACACTGATATAAGTCCCAGAATCCAAAAATAAGGAGCTCCTATATCCAAGGACAGGAGTTAGATGTTCTAGCTCAAAAATAGAGGGATTGGATGATACCCACTGGGATGAGCAGGTCATCTTTACTCAGTTACTGATTCAAAGCCAGTATCTTAAGGAAACACCCTCACCCAGACACACTCAGAAATAGCACTTCACTAGCTATCTGGGCATCCCTTAGCCTAGACATGTTAACACATAAAATTAACCACCACAACTACTTCAGGTTGAATACGTAACTGGAAGGACTCACAGAATTCACCAAAAGCTGTTGAGTCGTGGTTATGGTTTACTATAGCAAAAGGGTACAGGTTTAAGTAAACCAAAAGGGAAGAGACAAAATGGGAAATGGGAAAATGGGAAAAAGTCTAGGAGAGTTCCCTGTACAGAGCTTCCCTTTATCCTCTCCCAGTGAACTGAGACAGTGCTAAATTCTCCTAGCAACAACGTAACAATTAACAATAGGCTTGGAGCCTGTGGCTCAAAGCGACTAAGGCGCCAGCCACATATACCTGAGCTGGTGGGTTCAAGTCCAGCCTGGCCCGCCAAACAACAATGATGGCTGCAACCAAAAAATAGCCGAGTGTCATGGCGGGCACCTATAGTCCCAGCTACTTGGGAGGTGGAGGCAGGAGGATCGCTTAAGCCCAGGAGTTGGAGGTTGCTGTGAACTGTGATGCCATGGCAATCTACCCAGGGTAACAGCTTGAGGCTCTGTCTCCAAAAAAAAAAAAAAAAAACAATGTAACAATAGAATATTGCCAACTAGGGGATCTCAACCAAACTCTGATGTCCAGAGTCTTTACAGGGGCTCTCCCATAAAGTCCACTGCCTACATAGCTGACCTTAGCCTCTAGCCTGCCCAGAGGATGGACCTGATATCATATGACCCAAAGCCCCCACCATAAACCACATTCTTCAGGATAACTGGTGAGGCTAAAGGCCCCCAGGTAAAACAAAGGTATTTTATTTTATCAAGCGGGACATTCCAAGGGTTTAGAGATTACCTCCCAGGAGTCTAAGGCAAAGGCCATACCTCTCTTTGGGCAAGGTTAAATTATTTACTTCTCAGTATACTTCCCATGTCATCACAAAATAATGCCTTTTTTGGCACCTCAAGGTAGAGTGCTGTGAGTGTCATAGCTCATAGCAACCTCAAACTCTTGGGTTCAAGACATCCTCTTGCCTCAGCCTCCCAAGTAGCTGGGACTATGTAGATGCCTGCAACAGTGCCTGGCTTTTTTAGAGACAAGGTCTCTTGCTCAGGCTAGTCTCAAACTCCTGAGCTGAAGCAATCCGCCTGCCTAGGCCTTCCAGAGTACTGGGGTTGCAGGTGTGAGACACTGGGCCTGACACAAAAGAATGTTTTAAAATTTGTACTCAAGGGTTACAGGTTGTTGTTTTGTTTTGTTTTGTTTGTGAGACAGAGTTTCACTTTGTTACCCTCAGTAGAATGTGGCATCACAGCTCACAGCAACCTCAAACTCTTGGGCTTAAGCAATTCTCTTGCCTCAACCTCTGAAGTAGCTGGGACTACAAGCGCCTACCACAATGCCCAGCTATCTTTTGTTGTTGTTATTGTGGTCGTTGTTATTTGGTTGGCCCTGCGGGGTTTGAACCCTCCAGCCCCAGTGTATGTGCCTGACACCCTAGCCGCTGAGCTACAGGTGCCAAGCCAACGGTCACAACTTAATAAAACTATTTTTATTGTTTTATCAGGACATTCTTTGGTAAAACTGGTTTTGATCTGTAAGTGGTAAAGAATATAGTGTGCGCTAATGCATTTAGATGCCACTACCTTGATTGTGCTTTTTGTAAATCAGTGTAAATGTCAACCTAGTCAAAAAGACAAATAATGTCTTTTTTTCTTTTTTTTTTTTTTTTTGAGACAGAGCCTCAAGCTGTCCCCCTGGGTAGAGTGCTATGGCATTACAGCTCATAGCAACCTCCAACTCCTGGGCTCAAGCGAGTCCTGCCTCTGCCTCCCAAGTAGCTGGGACCACAGGCACCTGCCACAATGCCTGGCCATTTTTTGGTTGCAGCCATCATTGTTGTTTGGCGGGCGAAGGCTGGATTCGAACCCGCCACCTTAGGTGTATGTGGCTGGCGCCTTAGCCAGTTGAGCCACAGGCGCCGAGCCAACAAATAATGTCTTATATTTTATTCTTAATATTTTTATGAAAGTTTTCACCATGGGCATACCCTTAGATTCTTTGCCGTAACTATAAGCACCCTATTCGTATGTCTACCCTGTTTTGTAAAGTGATCTCATCTTCTGGAACTGGACAGCAGTTCTTTGAGGGTAGGTAGCCTTCCTCCTTTGTAGTCTCCACTTTACCTAGCACAGTGCTTTGCACACAACAAAAAATTCAGCAAATACTTGTTCAGTTGATATGTAGAACTTTTTCATCACTTCAGGAAATACTTCCAAAGCTTTTGATTAGGTCCTTTAAAAATGCAAATAAAAGGTGATCTTTTCTTCCTATTTGTGTTACACTTTTTTATTGAATAGAAAAGTTGTCATATCTGTGCTGATTCTCTAGAAACTTAATTGGCTTTGATTACATTTCCCTCATTGACATTTCAGTCAGTCACAGAATTGTGCCTCTTTTGTCCTAACTACTGTCATGGTGCCGGTCCAGACTCACGTGACAGGCTCCAGCAGCTCTCCAAATTTTAGGTTTACTGCCCTCACATCTATCCCCTGGTAGCCGCTGGGATAATCTGTTTGAAATGCAGGTAACAATAGCTGACGGTTAGTTACATAGTGCTTACTGTGCCAAGCACTCTTTAATATACTTAATCCTTTAACCTCATGAGGGAGGTATGTTTGTCATCCTCACTTTACAGAGAAAACCAAGTAAACCAGCAGGTCTGATTCTGGAGTCACAACTGTCTACTCTTAGCTATGCTACACTGCTTCTCACTGTGTAGCTTCAAACCTTCTAGTCTTCTCTACAAGCCAAAGGTAAACTCCTACACGTGGCATCTGACACCCGCCATGCTCTTGACTTCTGCTTGGTGTTAGGACCTCATGTCCTGCCTATTTCATGCTACAAACTCTAGCAGTTCAAAGCTGCTTGTAGTTTACCTACATACCATACTCTTTATAGCAGGCGTCCTCAGACTATGGCCTGCAGGCCACATGCAGCCTGTGTAGGACATTTATCTGGCCCACTGGGTGTTTTTGCTGCCGCTGCCTGTCCTACTTAGCAGCCGACTGGACCCGGGGCCCACAGTCTGGCCCTCCAATGATCTGAGGGACAGTGAACTGGCCCCCATTTAAAAAGTTTGAGGACCCCTGCTTTATAGCCTCTGCACTTTGGCTGCTGTGTTCCTTACTTCTGGTACTCTGCTCCCTCCGCTTGATGGGCTCCTTTGAGAATGCTCAGGTGGAAACTCCCCAAGAAAGATTTCCTCTACCTTTTACCCCTCCCCCAGTTGAGTTGACAGTAGAGTAGGATGGACAAATTAAAGCAGATAACTGTATATCAGGCATGATATGTGGTAGCTCACACTTGGAATCTTAGCCCTTTGGGAGGCTGAGACTGGAAGATTAGCTGAGGCCAGGAGTTGCCTGAACAACATAGTGAGAACTCCATCTCTATAAAAAAATAAAGAGATTAGCTAGATATGGTGGCATATACCTATGGTCCCAGCTACTTAGGAGGCTGCAGCAGGAGGCTCAATTGAGCACAGGAATATATATACACATATATATACATATTTTTGAGACACGAGTCTCACTATGACACCCTCAGTAGAGTGCTGCGGCATCACAGCTCACAGCAACCTCCAACTCTTGGGCTTAAGAGATTCTCTTGGTTCACCCTCCCAAGTAGCTCGGACTACGGGCACCTGCCACAATGCCTAGCTATTTTGTTATTGTTGCAGTTGTCGTTGTTTAGCAGGCCCTGGCCAGGTTCAAACTCGCCAGCTTCAGTGTATATGGTCGGCGCCCTACTCACTGAGGTACAGGCGCCAAGCCTGAGCACAGGAATTTGAGGTTGCAGTGACCTATGCTTATGCCAATGTACTCCAGCCTGGGCAACAGAGTAAGACCCTGTCCCAGGGGAAAAAAAAAAGGTACAAGGAAAGTAACTGTATTATAATTAGCAGCTTGTCCTTACATCCTAATCTAGACTATCCAGTCTTTTGAGGGCAGAGACTTATTTTTATACCAGCAGTGTTTGGTTTGTAAACAAAAAGTGTGAAATTTATGAATAAATGAACAAAGTATTTATCCTAAATAGTATTTTCTATTTCTCTGCAAATCCCCAAAATTATGAGTTCTTTCTCTTAGACTTTTGGAAAATTACACACATATAAATTTGTAGGATTTTGTTAGTTTTTAAGTAATGAATTTTCTTTCTCTTTTTTTTCTTGTAAGCTCCTTGCCCGACTTGAAGGTAGAAGTTCCTTGAAAGAAATAGAACCAAATCTGTTTGCTGATGAAGATTCACCTGTGCATGGTAAAAACTCAACCGAAAATGGAAATACCATGTCATAAATCAACTTTTATAAAACAGTATATGACAGATGATGATATCTGAGTCAGATGAGATGAAGTTTAGCTTATGTGCAGTAAATACAGAATATACATTAACCCTCCCTTTTATCCTTACACACAATATTTATAGTTTTCTTATTACAGTTTATTGTTTATTTTTTCTCTTTAGAAATTTGTAGAATTATTGGAACATCCTTAGGTACCTACTTGTTCAATTATTACCTCTATACTAGGGAAGACTTAGAAGATAATGTGCTCAGGTTGATCTGGGTTTTTAATGTGTAGCAACTTTATGGACATGTATTTTACCCATTTAAGTGTGGAGTTCAGTGATTTTTAGTATATTTACACAGTGGTACAACCATCTATTTGATTGATTTTAGAAATTTTCATCACCCCATAAAGAAACTGATGTCTCTTAGTTGTCATCCCTCATTTCTCCATGCCCCTCGGCCCTAGGCAAATCTGCTTTCTGCCTCTATATAGATTTGCCTTTTCCAGACATTTCATATAATTAGAATCACGCAGTATGTGGTCACTTGTGACTGACTTCTTTCACTTGGCATGATTTGCACTGAACTGCGTAATTCATTGTTCAATGTACTATACCACATTATCATTGTTTTTATATTGTTGGATAACATTTCATTGTATGGGTATACCACATTTTGTGTTTTGTTTTTTTTTTTTAAACAGAGTCTCAAGCTGTCGCCCTGGGTGGAGTGCCATGGTGTCACAGCTCACAGCAACCTCTAACTCTTGGGCTTGAGCAATTCTCTTGCCTCAGCATCCCAAGTAGCTGGGACTACAGGTGCCTTCCACAATGCCCAGCTATTTTTTGATTGTAGTGGTCATTGTTGTTTGGCAGGCCTGGGCTGGATTCCAACCCTCCAGCTCCGGTGTAGTGGCTGGCGCCCTAGCCACTACAGGTGCTGAGCTGTTGTTTTTTTTGTTTTTGTTTTTGAGACAAAATCTCACTTTGTTGCCCTCAGTAGAGTGCCGCGGCATGATAGTTCACAGCAACCTCAAACTCTTGGACTCAAGTGATTCTCTTACCTTAGCCTCTCCCAAATAGCTGGGACTACAGGTGCCTGCTACAATGCCCAGCTATTTTTTGGAGACGAGGTCTCACTTTGGCTCAGGCTGGTCTCGAACCCATGAGCTCAGGCAATCCACCTGTCTCAGCCTCCCAGAGTGTTAGAATTACAGGCGTGAGCTACCGGGCCGGCCTTTATGTATCATTTTATCAGTTAATGACCGTTTGGGTCGTTTGCTATTTTTAATTATTGTGAATAATGCTACTGTGGTTATCTTTGTACAAGTTTTTCTACAGATGTTTTCAATTCTCCCTAATAGCTAGGACAGGGATCGCTAAGTCATAGGACAACTCCAGTGTAATCTTAAGAGAAACTGCCAGACTGTTTTCCAGAGTAGTTTCATAATTTACTTGCCATTAGGAATGCAGATTGTGAAGGTTCCAACATCCTACGTCCTGGGAGTAATTGTTCTGTCTGTCCTTTGTTTATAGCCCTCCTAGTCTATAAGAAGTGATATTTCATTTTGATTTACACTTCCATGATGGCTGATGATGATGACTCCCTTTGCATGTGCTCATTGGCCATTTGTTTACCTTCTTTGGAGAAATGTCAGGTCCTTTGCTCATTTAAAACACTGTGTTATTTGTATTATTGTGTTTTACATGTCCTTTATGTAGTCTACATATCTCTTCTCAAATGTATGATTTTGGAAATTTCCAACCACATTATGTGAGTTGTCTTTTCATTGTTTTCAGGGCATCCTTTTTTTTTTTTTTTT